GGCGCCTGTTGGTCCGGTGATGGTACAGGCACCCTTCCCGGGGGAGCACTTCCAGTGGACCCGTGCCCCCCGCTGGCGGAATAAGCGTGTGTAGTAACTCAGACAACATTACCTACTGATAACGATTTCTAGATGGTTTTCCCGGCCCTGGCTTTCCGGCAGGCCACCTCGCCGCTGTAGAGGGCCTTGCCTTCACAGCCACAGAAGGAGGTGGGAAAGGAGACAGGCCCAGTGGGAAGGCAGGCCTGGCCGTAGGGTGCCGGGTTGCGGGAGGCTGCCCGGCAGGGGTACGGTCCAGCAGCTTGAAGGGCTGAGCGCGTGCGGAGAGTTGTGGGGGAGGGGGAGGCGGGGGGTGGAGGCAAAGAGGTCGACAACCGTGAGTGACCCGGAAGACCCTCTGGAAGAGGGACCCAGTTCCCGGGCAGGGCCCTCCTTCCTCTGGGGAGATGGCAGTGCTCAGGTTGTAAGGTCGGCGAGAGGGCGCTGAAGGCAAAGGTTGTCAAATTCCTTGTAGTTGCTCCGCACCTAGGGAAAAGAGCGGCTGGTCATTAATATCTTAATACCTGGTGAGAGTGGAAGGGATCTTTGCAACTGAGCGCCAAGGTGTGGGCCAAGGGGATTCCCAGTGTGTCTATAAATTACAGCTCAGCTAACCAAGTAAATCAACTTCGGAAACTCGCTTTTAAAAAGTTCACCTCCCTCCCAAAAATAGCTACACCGAAGAGCAACAATACAGTTAAACTCCCCACAGGAGACGTTTTGGTACCTCCAGGACCATGTCACCACACACCTGGGTAGCTCCCAATAAAACCTCTCTTTAGAGAGCATCAACTAGGTTATTGTTTGCAACCTACCCCCCCACCCCCAGCCTAGAATCTTAAGTTCCTTCCCAGACCTGTATGAACAAGTGTTTCATTGGAAGCTGCTGCGTGCGGAGCAGGGAGCGGAGTACCGCGGTTGGGGGAGAAGGAACCAACTGAACGCTTTGAGAACTAGAAGGTGCTGTCTCTTCCATCTCGTTGGAGTGCTGGTAACCTTTCCGACCTTTTATAAGAGATGGTTCTACAACAGACCCCAGCCACTGATTTCTTGACCAAGGCCCTCAGTCTGGCCTAAATACACGATGTTGGCTAGGAGCCAGAGTATATGATAGTCAAGGGATGTTCTCAAGGAAGAAAGAGGAATTACTGCCTTTGGATAAGCAAACTTTTTTTTTTTTTGGCTGGAAAGCAAAGCGTTTCTGAGGGTCGCTCGGATACGTTTTTCCGCACTTACTCAAAATCAGACCGCTCTCTGGGCTCTGCTGCTCTTGAACAAGGCGATTGATTGCTCCACCCTATTGTCAGGCCTCAGCCCCCAGAGCGGGCACCGACACGCACCCACCCCGTCCCGAGATGCAAGCAAAGGGCATCTCTTCCAAGAGTTGAGTCCTAATAGAGCCGGAGACCCCGAAAAAGGTGCCCCATGAGTTGAGAAGGAATCAACGCCTCCCCCCCGCCCCCGCCGCCGCGAGTGACGGGATAGCCCCTCCCCTACTCTGCTCTACCAGTAGCTCTATGGCACAACTGCTCAAGTACACTTTGCATGCGGTATGAGGCCCTCGGGACACCTGATTTCTGCCAAGGCTCGAAACCGGAGGTTGGAAGAGTGGGAGCGCACTATGCACCCGGGGCCCGCCAGGCCAACACGCTAGAGCCCGGGTCCCCCGAGTTTTGCGCTAACCAGCCTTCTAAGGATAAGCACCACTTCTGGCCGGCGGCAAAACCAGCTGCCTCTCCTTGAAGGGTTGGGGCGACCTCGAAGCCCTGGAGGGCGGGACGGGGCGCCTCTAGGTGAAGTTTCCCACCGAAGCCAACAAACGGCGCTGTTGCCACGCCCTGGGTCTTGGGATCCCCAGCCCCAGCCCCAGTCGGAGGGAGCCGGAGCTCTCTTGGGAGGGCAAGGGGAATGGGGAGGGTGTGTTTGGCCGGGTTCCCAGCCCGCCATCCGGAGCTCTGTGTGCCCGGAGGCCCCAAAGGGCAAGAGAGCTGCCGAACGCGCTCTCTTCTCCGGAAGAGGATGGAAAGAACTGGTCCTGGATCCTGCTGTGTCCGTTGCTTCCCTCACTCGGTGCAGAGTTCGTGTCAGAGACGCGGATTCTGGCTCCGCTGGCTGTCTTGCCTCCCCGCAGCCCCCGCCTGAATCGAGGCCCCTCGGGCAGCAGTACCTGCCGTGACCCTTCTCCCGACCCCCAGCTAAGATCGCGCCGCTCGGCTGGTGCTTGCGCCTGCACTGCTAGTGGACCAGGAGAAAGGGTTTCCTTCCAGCCTTCCCCCCACCTCCCCACGCCTGCAATGACCTTGTTCGACTATTGAAGTGGTGGTTTGGGTTGAGGACGTTTCCTCGGAAATGTTTTGAAGGAAATTCGGCTTGACTCCTGCTTGGGGCTGTGCAGACCACCCCGGAGCCACCAGGCACAGAGACCGTTTTAATCGCGGCCTCCGAGGGGAAGCCAGGACTGTGGGAGAAGATGTCTGTCCTGGCGGAATACAGGCAGAGGATGTAATGTGAAAATGAGCTCACCTAAGCCGCGGACTAGTTGTGATCAAATGACAAACAGCTGGGGGCAGTGACTAGCGCCCCCCCCCCCACCTCGATAATCTGCTCGGGGGAGGTGTACAGATCCAGCGCCGCATCCCTCGCCTTGGGAAATATGCAGCCCAGGCGCTGTCACCACAACGGCTTACTTGGGTCCTAAAACTTGGAAAGAATCCTGACATCTGTCAGGCTACTGGACGCCAGGCCGCGCGTCGGTTGGGTAGTTTCCTAAAACGCGCTTCACTTAGCAACAGCCTCAGAGGCCCAGAGAACCCGAGAGGGCATCTGGAGAAGGCGGCAGGCGGGCAGGGTTACCGCACATTGACTTATTTGGGAGAAGGTGGGTTTGCCCAGGAAAAATGGACGTTATCAGCTAGTTCTGCCAAAAAAACAAGTGCTGGTGGAGATCGCCAAATCATTCCGTTTTCTGAGACACATCTTCCAGTCTGTGTCAGCTTAAGTGTGCACACTCATGCACGCGCGCACACACACAAGCACACACACACACAGACATAAGATCCATACACAGAACCATTCCAGATAGTTTACTTTAAAACCCTAAATCGGACGCCCATTCAAAGGACGGCAGCCCTTGACTGTGGACATTTGCTTCCTTCCGGCCAGGAAAGCAAGAGAGCGTAGACAGGTGAAACCCAAACTTAAGGCGCTGGTTTAGAGACGCAAAATTTCCAGAAGATGATGCCGGCTGGGAGCCAGGATTCTAATGCCAGCGGTCCGCCCACCCCAGAGGAGGTTGACCTGCTCTACCCCACCCCCCTCCCAAGTCACAACGGTATACTTTTAAATTCGTGCAGGAAAGGGGGGGGGTAGCTCCCAGCGTGCAGGTGTCCCCGGATCGCCTGGTTTTGCATTAGCGCTAAGGAGCTAAAAGCCTGGGTTTTTGTTTTTTGTGTTTTTTTTTCCACACTTAGGATTTACGCTTTTCTTTTGGTTCCTCATTTTTCCACGAGGCTGGGGGAAGGGGACCACACGGCGCGGACACCTTATTTCAGTCTCTGCCACTTCTGCCTGGCTCGCTACTCCTTCCCACCCGTCGCCTCGGGCGGCTCCGGGAGTTTCAAACGCTGTGCCACTCGCTCAGGCTGGCGAAGGCGATTGTCCGGGTTCCCTCTCCCCGCAGCCGGGGTTCCCGAGACACTAGTCTTTGGCAGAGAACATGACATGCGGGTGAATGTCCCGCTCGAGTCTCGAGGCTTTGGCCAGGAATGGCTGTAAAACAAAAAAGGAGAAGGACGGAATCCGTTAGCAGAGCCTGCTCCCCGGGGAGGCGGCGCGGCTGCGCAGCGAGAGCAGCGCTCAGTGGTCCTGGCAGGTGCGCGGCCAGTGGAGGGGGCCCGGCGGTCCGCCCGGAGGACGGCCTCGGCTCCACTCCGGCCACCGTCCCCCCCCCCCCCAAGAAACTTTTCTTTCACTTGGAGAGGCTCCGTGTTGCCATGAAAACGGATTTTCCAAGGGGCCCGACCCTCCCCCTCAGGGGCATCGGACTGGAAAAACCGAAATGGCCAGAGAGCAGAAACAAAAAGGGGCCGCTAAGCGGGGGCCTGGAGCGAGAGAGCCGAGGCCGGTTCACCCCCTCCGCCCCACACACACTGTCCGCACCACCGCATGTAAGCGCCTCTGCCCGTCTCGGGCAGCAGGCGGCTGACTGCTCGCCTTCACTCAAACCAGCGGAGAGCCCCACACCCCCGTGCGCTCCGTGGTTCGGAAGCCTGTCTCCCGTGCCCCGGTCCCTGACCCCAGCTCCGTCCAGGGCGCGCAGGCCCGCGGCTTCCCGGCAGAGGGTTCTGCTGGGACAGGGGCCGATTCCAGGGATGGATTCTCGGAGCCGCAACCCGGGGTGCCTCCGTTGCGTCCTCAGTCCACAAGCTCGCCTGGGTAACTGGCGATGCCCAGTATCCCTAGCGCTGCAGCAGAAGCGGTCGGAGGACCTCCGCGCAGACAGCGGGATGCTTTGCAGGGTGGCCCCGGGACCAGGTACCGCTCGGTCCTGACGCGGCTGCAAAGTTGTTTTCTGAACCCCGTGGGCGCCCCTCTGCCCCCCTTCCCCCCAATTCTGCTCGCGCGCCCCCTCCCCCCTCCGTCACTTCCTCGAGTTTCGTTCTTTCAAACTTTTTGAGACCCTAATTGGTGGTCTCTGAGCGGCTCTCTGGGACTCCCGCCTCCTGAATAACTCTCATCACGTCACCGGGCCCAAGAGGGGCGTGGGGGTGAACGAAAGGGCTCCCCGAACTTTTTTTTTTCCAGTGGGGCCGAATGGGGACTCCGTGATGATTGGCCAGGGCGCATCACTGTGAGCCTGTCAATCACGGGGCCTCCCGGTGGCGAGGGGCGGACCGAGTCCCAACCCCGGGGGATCCGAGTAGGTATATAAGGGACCCGGCGAGCGCCCGGCCAGACTGCGAATGCGGCCAGCTCGAGACAACGCATCAGGTGCGAGTAGCCTGCGGGTTCCTGCCGACTTGGCGCGGAGCACTTTGGCAAGCCTGCCCTTCCCGCCTGACCCGCTGGCCCACCGGCCCCCGAGCGCCCCTCCGACGGAGTCCCCAGGCCTTTTCACCGTGGCCGCTCCAGCCCCGGGAGCGCCTTCTCCTCCCGCCACTCTGGCGCACCTTCTTCCCGCCCCGGCCATGTACAGCTTGCTGGAGACCGAGCTCAAGAACCCCGTGGGGCCACCCACCCCAGCGGCAGGCGCAGGCGGCCCCGCAGCCCCCGGCGGCGCAGGCAAGAGTAGCGCGAACGCAGCCGGCGGCGCGAACGCAGGCGGCGGCAACGGCGGGGGCTCGAGTGGCGGGGGCGGGGGCAGCGACCAGGACCGCGTGAAGCGGCCCATGAACGCCTTCATGGTGTGGTCCCGTGGGCAGCGGCGCAAGATGGCCCTGGAGAACCCCAAGATGCACAACTCCGAGATCAGCAAGCGCTTGGGCGCCGACTGGAAACTGCTGACCGACGCCGAGAAGCGGCCGTTCATCGACGAGGCCAAGCGACTGCGCGCCGTACACATGAAAGAGTACCCGGACTACAAGTACCGGCCGCGCCGCAAGACCAAGACGCTGCTCAAGAAGGACAAGTACTCCCTGCCCGGAGGCCTGCTGCCCCCGGGCGCTGCCGCCGCCGCTGCTGCCGCCGCCGCAGCCGCCGCCGCCAGCAGCCCGGTGGGCGTGGGCCAGCGCCTGGACACGTACACACACGTGAACGGCTGGGCCAACGGCGCGTACTCGCTGGTGCAGGAGCAGCTGGGCTACGCGCAGCCCGCTACTATGAGCAGCCCGCCGCCGCCGCCCGCGCTGCCGCAGATGCACCGCTACGACATGGCCGGCCTGCAGTACAGCCCCATGATGCCGCCCGGCGCCCAGAGCTACATGAACGCCGCCGCCGCCGCCGCCGCCGCCTCGGGCTACGGGGGCATGGCGCCCTCGGCCGCCGCCGCCGCGGCCGCCGCCTACGGGCAGCAGCCCGCCACCGCCGCCGCCGCGGCCGCCGCGGCCGCCGCCATGAGCCTGGGCCCCATGGGCACGGTGGTGAAGACCGAACCCAGCTCGCCGCCGCCCGCCATCACATCGCATTCGCAGCGTGCGTGCCTCGGCGACCTGCGCGACATGATCAGCATGTACCTGCCACCCGGCGGGGACGCGGCTGACGCCGCTTCGCCGCTGCCCGGCGGCCGCCTGCACAGCGTACACCAGCACTACCAGGGCGCTGGGACTGCCGTCAACGGAACGGTGCCGCTGACCCACATCTGAGCGCCCGCCTGCGCGCGCCGCCCCTCCGCCCCCATCCCGCCCCGCACCCCCAACTTGGGACGCCTTGTTGTTTAGCTTTGCTTGCCTGGGACTGTTGCCTTGTACCGATGATGGGGAGGACAGAAAGTTTTGCTGTAGCTGTCGGGTTTTGTACAAAAAGCAAAAAGAAGTCCGGAGCAGGGGAAATGGGACTTTCTAGAGCTCGCCTACCCCTCGCCGCTGCCCCTCCCTCCCCTTTTGTAGGCTGGGAATCGCTGTGATGTTTGCAGAGAAAAAGCAGCCCCCCTCCTCCTCCTGGGTTCCTGGGTTTTTCTGTTGCATTTGAAAACGTTGTCTCGTTAGTTTACTGTTAGCCAAGGAGTGAGTGAATAGGAGAAACGTACTCTCGGGTGAGGCTGGCCTGAGAACTGCAACGCCTCCTCCCCCCCCCCCCCCGTCGCGTTGCCTCGGTTTTCCTGGTGGGTTTTTGGGGGGCTGACCGCGCGGAGTGGCGCGGCAGCTCAGGCCAATGTTAATTTATAGCCAGGTGTGCGTGCGTCTCCTGCCTCGCCGCCCCTGGCCGCAGGACAGCTTCTGTCCAGTCCGCATTTAGGCTGTTGAGTTGGTGATTTCTGCCGTGATCTGTTTGGTATTTCGTCGCGCTAATGTATTCGGATTTCGTTTGGGTGGTGGGGAAGGGGCTATTTTGTTTCAGGTTTTTCAAGGTTTTACTCTTAATTCCTAAATGAGAGATCAATAAATTTTATAACCAACATAATGGAGTCTTGATAATTTTGCGGGCCTGAAACATATGCGCGGGCTGGGGAGAGGACTATAACTCGGTATTAAGAGCCTTGGTCCCGTCCTGCGGGGGGAGGGGGGGAGCAAGCGTGATCTGAGAGGGTTTCTGACTCCCGGACATCCAAAACACTGCAGCTCCCAATCCTTTCTACGGAAACTCCAAGGAGCAAGCGGTTGGTCTTCCGGGAGCGTGTGCTGGGAGCCGGCCCCCCGCTAGCTGAGCCGAACACCCCGCGGCCACGCACTTGTTGATAGCGGTGAGCGTCCGCTGAAGGAGTGTCTGCCGTAGCAGCCACGCCGGGCGGGGAGGGGCCGCCCGCGGCCGCGGAAACGGGCCCAAAGAGGGGGCACCTTTACCTCTGTGCACTGGGGCGGGAAGACATTTGAGCCGAGCTGCAATATTTACAAAACGAAAACCCTTCGGAAATCTCAATTATCCTATTAAAAAAATAAATGGTTACAGGAATCCCTAGCAGGAAATAAGTGCATTTCAACCGTGGTGGCTGAAGCGGCGGAGCTAGCATTCAACACTAGAAGGCTGGGTTTTAAAAAAGTCCACCTCAGACTTTTAAAAGATCTCTAAAACTCCTCCAGCGGCTTTTTCTTTCGACTTGTCAACCCAGACCACCTATTGGTTTTCTAGAACTGGCTCTCTCTCATCCCAAACCTTGAGCCCGCTTTCTACCCCTCCCTCCTCCCGCCACTTCCCCCCAATCCCTGACCCTTAGGCATTCCACCGTGCCCCCCAAAAGGCCTTTAGTTTCGCGCCCGGCCACACGGCCCCAGTGTATCTGTTTGGGGCCTAGGAAGAAAACAAATAGAACCAGTGTTTTTTTACCCCCTCCTCAGCTGTTTGAGGTGATTTCCTTAATCCCTTTAATCCTGTTACCTCGCTATCCCAGAATAACTAAACTCGGTCTTTCCAATAAGCTTGGCCTGGTGCACTGGTCTTATTCTCATCCACTCTTGATCACAGGTTTCTTTGCTTGAGGTCTGCTGGGGCTCTGGGCGACAGAATCTCCCATAAATTGGTCCGAATTCCACATTTCCAACCGGCTTCCTTTGTGCGGGCCAGCCATTCACCTGCGGGCCTGGGCGGGCCTCAGGGGGAGGGGCGGAGGCTTTCTGCCGCTTCGGGGGTCGTGCCCGCTTTTTACACATCACTGCGGATCCTGGAGACTAAGCTCACCACGCCTCCCCAAGAAAGGTCGGGTCTCCCGGAGCAGGCAGCGCCACCCCTCCCCCGCAGACGCTGGCACTGTCTCCCCCCACCCCACCCCACCGCGCCCCGCCCGGTACTTTGGAGTTGGGGGTGGGAGGGCAATTGGCGGTGATGTACAGACCTCCGCGCTTTGCCCTCCACCCGGTGCTCCTCCCGGGCCTGCTGCGTCCGGGACAGGGTTCGGCCGAGGTCTCCGTACCACCCCCTCCACTCCCCATCCCGGGGTCACAGACCCCGCGCCCCTCCTGGCTGGTGGGTGCTGCAACACTTGCCGCTGGGATGGGAGCCAACCCACAGGCGGCCAGTTCGGTGAGCCTCACTACTCCCCACAACCTTCCCCCCCCCCCCCCCCGCCACACACACACCGTCGCCCCGGTGCTCCAACGTCCCCAGGGCGGGAGGAAACTCTCTTGTCATCTCCACCCCACTATTCATATCTTTCACAGTGTTTGGGCCTCAGTAAAATACCTGGCCGTAGGTTACTCTGGGTTCAAATTGCTAGCAATTGTGGACCAAGTTTGGTCTGCAGTGACTCCAGGAAAGGGCGGGTGAAAACAAGCAATTCCGCCCCACTGAGGGGGCGGTGCCAACGCGGGAATAAACTGACGCGGCTTCTCTCCGAGAGTCCATTGTGTTGCTGCCTTCTTAGAAGTGCCAGGGTCACCCTTTCAGCGGGTTTCATATACTGCTCACTCCCTCTCCGAGCATCCATGGCTTTGTGCTCCACTTGTCTGATTTCCAAACTGTCTTTAAGAAAAAAGATTTCATCGATCAGCACATTTGCATGATTTAAATATAGATGAAAGATTTTTATTTTTTCAACTTCGGCGTCAGGGAAGGGAAGGGAACTGAACCCGAGTGAAATTTCCATCCTCCAGGCCAGAGTTTTCAAACTAGAGCACCCGTCCCTGCTCCCACTCCTCCCACACACACTTCTTGCAGGACAACTGCCCCTTCATCTGTTGTACAGATTGGGGTTCTGGTAAGATTTAACTTAAAATAAGGTTTCTGCTCCTAAGTGGTCAACCCCCCAACTCCCGCCTCTTCTAGCTTATTTCACAAGACAAAACTGGCCCCTGCAGGGAAACAGCGCTCAGGATTGCTGAGCTGGGCACAGAAGAACCAGACTCCCAGGCCTGCAGGGCTCTCTGTTCCATCACAAGACAGAGAGAAACCCCTGAAATCCCAGCCCCAGCTGCCTCTTAAGCCCGTAATGCAGCAGGGTCTCTGCAGAAAAGAGGTAATTCTTGACACAGACCCCTAGTAGCCTCTGCTAGGTGAATGGTGATCTGGGGTGGGGAGCACAGGGTCCTTACGCAGTGGAAAAGACCAGCCCATCTTTTAGCTTTCTGCTGACAGGAACAAAGCTACCTTGTGGTGAGAATTATCCCACATAGAGATTTTCTTTCCTGTCCACTTCATACGACTCCCCTCATTAATCTCCCTTCTAGAAATCTACCGGGGGAGAGGGCATCCAGAATGCAAACCAACATTTATAAACAGATGTTCATCACAGAACTCCTTATAATGGTAAAAGTTACCCACAACCCAAATGTCCAACAAATAGGAAAAGGTTATTTAAAATATGTTTTCAAGAAAGACTTCTTTGCAGATACTAAAAATTGTGTGCGGAGAGATTTTAATGACAGGGAAACGTTTAAAACACAAAGTGAAAAGAGCACGATACACAAAAGTATGTTCAGTGTGTATGACCTATTTGACAATAAGGATATATGACTGGAAAAACATGCAAAAATGCAGGGTAGTATTATGAATACTGGTTAGTCTTCCTTTTATGTTCTCATACTTTCCAATTTCCTCCGATAGGATTGTATTCCTGTTATCAACAGAAAAGGCAGGTTAAAAATAATTCTCTCCCTATCACAAATACAGAAATATGTCTCCATGTGAAAGAAGAAAGTTCCAGCTTTCCCTTCATTTGTTTTGGGGCGAGGAGGGGACAGGGAGCCCCAGGAGCAGTAATCCTCCAGCTCTCCTCCGGGTTGGGGCCTGCAGTGAACACAGGCAGGACAGGACACCAGAGCAACCCCCTGCCAGGCGCCCTCTTCAGTAAGCAGGAGCAGGATCAGATTAGTGACGGCTCCTTCATTCTTCAGACCCACTCACTGGAGAAAAAAGACCTCCTTGGGAGCCAAGCTGAAGAGCCAGGGCTGCGGGAAGCAGGGGCCACTGAGGAAGCAGAAGGCACATAAACCTGGGGGCCTGAGCAACCCTCACTACCCTTTTGGGAGAGGGGCGGAAAGTAAGCCCTGAGGTTGGGTCCCAGGCCAGGTGCAGGAAGGGCTAGGTGAACACCCACCAGCTGAATGGACCCCAGTGTGCTGTGTCTCTCCTCCCCGTGGCCGCCATCCTCATTTCACACTGCTGACATTTCTTGCCGGACCACTGCCAGGGCCTCTGACCTGTTCCTGCTTCCACTCTGCTCCCTACCGCTCCCCTACACACTTTCTCCACAGAATGTTCCCTCCAACTTTGCAAGCACAAATCCTATGGTTGTCGCTTCCCATCTTAATAACCTTCTGTTGGCTCCATACGGAGTGCTCTTGGAAAATTATCCCAACTCCTCCAGAGATTTGCTTGATCCAACTCCTGCCCATCTCTCTGAGCTAAACTATTCCCTCCCTCAACCCCAGCCAGGATTCCTTTGGGCAATGTTTGTTGAGTAAATAAATCATAGTTCCTGATAGTCTCGCATCTGAACCAATTTTGAAGTCCATTAATTGATTAAGGTAAAGATTGCTGTACACGGTACATATCTTATTTTGTGGGACTTCATCGGTGGGATTTCCCCAAATCCGTGCACGAGATGCAGATTTCCTGACAATAAAATCTACTAGCAAAAATATATCATGTCCTTCCTGCCTTGGGGCTTTTGAACTTGTTGTTCCCTTTTCCAGGAATGTTCTTTCCCAAGCTCTTCCCTCAGATAGTCTAAAGTCCTCCAGAAGATCTCAGTCCTCGCAGCACTTCTTCTGGG